TACCACCAGCGAGCTGTCCGTCAGAAGTACACACGACGCCCGGTACCGACTCCCTGGCTGCATGATTATAATACATAATTATAATAGGTAGATCTAATCTCTCTCCCACACCACCTCGGCTCGCCGGCTAAAATCTAGCATCGTCAGATATCAGCCCGACGACCCCTGCGAAGTTTTTATTTTGTTATTTTGTGAATACTTACGTTCCTCAAGCCTACGTTATAGGTCTGGATGAGGCTGTCCGTGGTCGGACTGAAGGGCATTGGGTACAAGGTTCTACATTGTGTACAAAACTGACGTCTACGGGGACCTTTGGCACATTCATGCTTTCTTATTATTAATTATAAAGATCTATCCTAACTTCTGATCCGGCATAAGTTTTTTATTTGAATTGACGTAAATTTCATGGGTTTGAATTACTACACACACGCGCGCGCGCGCGCTCAAAGAAAGTCAGGAGAGAGAGAGAGAGAGAGAGAGAGAGAGAGAGAGAGAGAGAGAATCTAAATACATGATGTATAGTACAGTATAGGCCTATTAATATCATACACATTATCGTTAACTTCATGCCCATCCCAAAGGCGACAGTACAAACGACATTTGACGCTCTTGTGCTACACGTGCCGAAGAATCATACATCATGACACGAGAATATTAAAATATTTTTAAAATTGCAGAATCATTAGCCTGTATCTTTACTTCCCGAAAAGGAGGGAAGGGAGGGGTGTCAGATTTATGGCTATTTTTTATTTTTTTAAATTAGCGGACGATAACCGTCCACCCGAGAGAAAAGAGGGTCAGATTTCTCCGTCCCTCGGGTGCCTCGAGCAGTATCTGCCTCGCTAAACCAGTGGGCACAATAAGGCCGGAGGAGAAGCTGAGAACAGATACCACCTTTGATCGTAGCCAAAAGGCCGAGAAGCAGAATGATTACCCTGTATCTTTACTTCCCGATAAGGAGGGAAGGGAGGGGTGTCAGATTTATGGCTATTGCAAGTAAGCGTGAACATTGCAATACTAAACATTCCTGAAAATTTATTTTCCTTTCCTTTTTTTCTTCTTGCTGAAAAAACATGTGTTTTTGTTTGTTTTTAAGTTACACAATGCACAGAGATTGAGGGAAACATCTTATTCTATCACTATCAGGTGAGATATGTGAGGCAGCGTGGTGGAATCAGGCTCTCGTCAAAATAATCTAAGTGAAGAAACTTGCATTTTCCCACAGGTTTGTGAATTTTCATCAAATTTTTGTTTTTGGCTCAACACTTTTCATGCCCTTTAAAGAACTCATTTCTGTGAGGATTTTTCTGAAAAACGTAAATTAAAGGCACAAAAAAGTAAATTTTCAGTTACTACGGACTCTTAAGCTGAGGAAATAACTAATCTTTGACAGTCATTTTCTCACTAATTTTACCTCTGAAAGTAGGTGACCCCCACCTCTTTCATTTTTTGCAAATATAATATCTCGACTTGTACTCAAGATAAATGGATATTTTTTTCATCCAAATAAAGACAACTGAAGAAGCTTTAAGATGATACCAATAACTCTACATGCCCCAAAATTGACGAGAGCCTAATTCCACCACGCTGCCTCACATATTATATCAAACCTAGAAGGCCATTTTTTCGGGGGCGGGGGTTCCTGTTGAAATTAATCACTCACCATCCTCTGTTTATGTTCACTTGCATGTTTTAATTAAATTTAAGTGGTGTAACTTATCTACCCAATAGTATTTAATAGTATTATCTATGGATGTTGTCGAGCTCGCGGAAAAGACTGCGATAGTGGGAAAAGTTAGTCTATATGTACTGGCCGGGGGAAAAATAATGACAATTTATTATCGTAATTTATCCGTAGGTCTACTTAAAATAGACTCAAGTCTAGTACATTTTACAGAAATTTTATTGTTCCTGCTGCCACGATGAACCCGATCAGCGCATACAAAAGTGCTCCCCCTTTATATATTTTTATGCCAAACTGCTGTCTTCACGCTTAAAATAGCAGGTTTTTCCCCCCCTTCCAAACGAGTTGGTTTGAGCCTTGAGAACAATTTAAAAAAAATGATATTTATAGATCTAGACAGCATTAGATCTAGCAAAATGTATAACTTCGTTGGGAGCCAATTGCTTCTCCTGGTCATCCTGTCAAAAATGTGCCCAACCCCATTCCCCTTTTGACATTGCCTAGTTTTCGCTTTCAATGTTTTAGTTCCATATTTTGCGTCGTCTCTGGCATATTTTGTCTGACGTTGAATAGGCCTACAAGCAAACTTTATTTTCCAAGTGTTGAATCCCAGCCAGTTCTGACTCTCACTCTGATCTCTAGATCTAGATCTACTGCCCCATGACTAAGTTGAACGGAACATCGAGGCCTCCGTAACAAAATAGACTTTCACATTTTGTGTGAGCGGAGCAATGATGAAGGAACAATGTATTTACACACCCATTATATTAGATCGATGCTCTTGTGTGTTGTCATCAGTGTCAGTCTCAGTCTGCCTATCTCATCATCTGTCAGTGCCAATGTTAGAGCCTGGTCACCGGCAAACACTCAACATGTAAGTGGTCTCAAGTTTTAAATTGCTTTGCATAGTCCTTTTGTTTTACGCCAAGTTATGCATTGTAATGCACATGGTAGAGTTAAAAAGTAGATTCTAGGCCTAATTTTTACGATAATTTTTATTTGGCCGGCTCTATTTCCAGAACGTTCGGGAAAATAAACTTGAACTCTATTTCTCTGAACGGTTTCCATTCTCGAGACTTGTGTAAATACAAGCGAATGGAGTTGCCTGTGTGTGTGCGTGTGTGTGTGTGTGTGAGAGTGTGCATGCATGTGTGTCTGTGTGCGTGTAAGGTGTTAACAGGTGGGTGGGGGGGGGGGGGGGGGGACTGACACGTATGCAACGTTCAACGCCCAGACCGATAGCGCCCCCCCCCCCCCTCCCCCGACACGCACACACAGCCACACGTGTGCAGGCCGCCCATCCGACCCCGACAGACGCTAACGAGCCATCTTTAATTGCTTCTGATGACCTCTTGACAAATAAACATTTATTAGAAGCGCTGTAACTTTTCAGGCCGGCCTCAAATTCATCATAAAAGATAAAAACTCGGCTCTGGCACAATTTAACGCCATTTAGCCCGAAGTGATCCTGGTCTCTACCCAGCCTGAGGCGAGTCACGAGTGAGGCAGGACGGGAAGCCGGAGTCACGAGTCACAGGAAGTCGGAAGTAATGTCATGCTGGAAAAGAATCGGAGTCCGAATAACATTTTTTCATATTCGGACTCGAGTCCGAATAGTCCCTTCGTTTTTAAAATTTAAAGGATTACATCAAGACCAAGCACTAATGACGACTGATCTGATGTCTAGCGAAAGCTTTGTATGATGACAATGATGATATCAAAATTAATGAAATTATCTAAGGCAGTCCTAAGGACAAAATGTTGGGAAAAGGGTGCTGTTAGAAACTACTACATTCTCCAGGGATGGGGTGCATAGATAGACTTTAATAGATCTAATTGTATAATTTACAATTAGCACAATCATCAATCATTGATTATTCAATTCATTGTGCTAGCATAACCGCACATTTCCACTCACAGTAATTCTTGTTTCAACACAGAATAGCAGTCCGATAATGTAATATCTGATTGCTTCAGACGTGCTCTTATACCAGTACTGTTGATGTTTACTGGACAAAGTCAAAGATACAGTGGTGTGCCTAATTTTAATGGTGAAAGCAATGGCTCTGTGCTGCCCAATCTATACTTGTGCACTGCATACTGCGTGCATTCCCAACAGCTTCTTTCTTCTCCTGCACAGACACACTACTACTTGTGCTATGCCATGCAAGAAGCATTCTGCTTCATCCCTCCCCTCACTCTTTTTGTGTTCCATTTTGTTAGCTCATATGCCCACCTGGTCTTTAGCAAGAAAGCTTGTGCTGGAAAAAAGTGCAATGCTGTATTGATAAGGAACGTTTTACCTCTCACAGAAAATTATTTTTGAACTTATCAACCCCCCCCAACATCTGCACAGATTGTAATTTCTTTTGTACCGGTACTTGTGCTAATTTCTAGCTCCCCTGACTGACCCAGCAGTAGTTTGCATGTTTAATATCTCATTTCAAGCATGTTTGATGTGCAGTACTCCACAACGATTGGAAGTTCTCAGAAAAGGAGATCAGGAGTAATGGAAGTGAACTCTTCAGTGTTAAGCTTTTATAACATTCAGACCTTATGGGATAGTATTTTATGAAAAATGGAATGAGAAGCTCTTTTTGATTCGGTGAGATTTTTTTTGGTATTGAAGTATGTTATGTTAATGATTAATTATTCTAAACGTGTGTCGGCAAGGGTGTAGAACACTGCTACTTCATTTTAAAAAAGTAATTCCTCAGTAGGAACTTGCACATTTGCACAAACTTTGAATAAACAAAACTGAATGTCATCTTCTTTCCCAGGTATCTCCAGATAAAAAATCCTTATGGCTAGGTGACATGAAGCTTGTGCATCCCACAACTATCAAGAATTTGAACTTCAGAAGACAGTACAAAGGTTATGACACAAAGTGTCATGTGAGGTTCAAACAGTGCACCATTGATTTACGAAATTTAGTGGGACTTTTTCCCTGTTTGTTTGAAATATTGAAAAATTCTCCAGTTTTCAAATCAAATATTGCAATGATAACCGTAGATCAGATTAGTGCAGCACTACCACCTGTATGTTTTCATTCTGTGATATTTTATAACTTGTGCCTGTGTAGAACTCGTGGTGAGGTTTTACCTACTTCTGTCTTGAATAGCTTATGTAAGAACAGAGAGTTCATTCCTACAAAATTTCACTCAAAAGAAGTGTCTAGACAGTTTTCAAAGTCATCTCCAAATGTCGTTCAGATGAAAAGTCCAGCATCTTTTGACAAGTTTGTTTCGCTTCGTACTCGAGGTATTGAGGATTGTCTTAAATCCGGATTTATCAAGCCCAAGAAAATATCAAGGTGTCTTTCTTTTTTCCAGAAGGCCCTTCATGCTAGTTATTTTCCAAAGAGAAAAAATCTTTTTCAACAGTATGTGAGGATGCTACAGATATTGTGTTCGGTTGCTGAAAAGTGCAGGCAATCTTTGCCCTACTCTGGGGTTGATACGCCTGCACAAAGCTTACATGGTCAGTCTCCGGAAAACTCAGATGATGGTCAGTCTCCCTCTTCATATCATGGGGTGTCTACTCCAAGCTCAGCAATTGATGACCATTCTACACAAAACTCAGGTGATGGCTCTACAATGACTCATCTTGCCAATAGACGACACATTAGAAGGAAAAGATCCAAGAGTCATGATCATGATGGCACAGATAAGGGGCAAAGTGATGTGGACAGCTCAGGAAAGTCAACAGCAAACTCTTCAGAGCAACTGTTGTTTTCTAATTACACTTGGGATTCGGAGTTCAATAAGGCAAATTTCAAGAAGATCATGGAGCATCGCGAGTTTCAGAGACAGCTGTGAGTTGTTTAATCAAATGTGAGGCGTGCTGATGAAATAAGTTACAGCAATCTTTGAATTTAAATTTCTACAGAAAATCAACAACTGGGGTCAAATTTGTAGATTTTCAATTGACACGAGCTAATTCAAGTATTTGACATGTCCTGTATTTTTTCGTACTTACAAATTGTACAAACTCAACCTGAAAGTTTGACTTTTTTTGTAGGGCTGAAATCTGAGAAGTAACTTATTTAGTCAGCACACATCACAATTCTTAATAACTTGAGTAGAGCCTGTGAAAGGCAGTCCTCATTCTCTCCTATGAGTTATATTTACTTGGGACTGATGGTGGCCATAGATATTCTTAAAAATGATTTGTAATTTTATCGTAAAGCAAAGCTCTTCGGCCTTAAGTTCCAGTACTACGGTATCTTTTTCTTTCCTCTCCGTACTGTTTTGGAATTTGTCTCCACATGTTATTGTCCAAGACAGTCATCCATTTTTGAGGAAAAAAGTGGTTTTCCTAGACTGTTGGATTATATGTCATTATTCTGATATTAAAAAAGGCAAGATGGAGAAGCAAGAATTGGTCATTTGTACAGGTGATTGCCAAATTAGACAAGAGCCGGTTCAACTGTAATTCTATACATAGAACATTTGTGATGGTCCAACAGACATAATGATATATAATTTGTTTCTTTATGCGCAGGTGGATGGAGGGCGTTTTTAGCAGGTTCTTTTTCTTTTCTTCCCCCCTATTGTTTGTCTCTTCCCCCCTATTGTTTGTCTCTTCCCCCCTATTGTTTGTCTCTTCCCCCCTATTGTTTGTCTCTTCCCCCCTATTGTTTGTCTCTTCCCCCCTATTGTTTGTCTCTTCCCCCCTATTTTTGTCTCTTCCCCCCTATTGTTTGTCTCTTCCCCCCTATTGTTTGTCTGTCTTACTTTTCCCCGTGCACTAGATGGCTGTTATTGTGTTGATGTGCTTCTGTTTAATTTAACAAACTTAAAGAAACAAGGTTTATGATATGTTGTAGCTTCTCTGTATTTTCTTAACAAGTGCACTGTACTGCTCTGTTGTTACGCGTATTGCTCTGTTGTTACGGTTCATTACATTTCCGTACTCTTTCTATTGTGTTGTCAGATCATTATTTCCATGTTTTCTTTGTAGTGTCAAATTCAGTTGTTTTTTAGAAAGTGATTATAGGGTACTACTTTATACTTCTTGTATTTGTATATTTTGCTTGTCATTGTTGTTTACACTCTGCCTACCTGTGGTGTGATGGTTGGGATCTACACTGTTGTATGTTATTAATCCATAACAGGCAACACTGTTGCATACAGTGGATGAAAGTTTGATTTCTGTATGGGAATCTTTTAAAAATTGTGTATCTTTATCTGTCAGTTTGCTAGGGTGCTATGTCTGAATCAGCTCAGGTTGACCCTGACAGAAGCCGCCAAAGTGGCCTGTAAAATTATATTGTGTCGATGAGGGTAGTGTAAACCATTACCAGAACAGACAAAAAAAAATGATGGTTTGGATTAAGTCTGGTTCTTCATGTATAAGTACCGCATGCTCTAAATTTTGACATGAATGAGCTTCACTCTACAGGAATGATAGTAGTGTATGCCTTTTACAAATTCTCTATACTTTTTTCTCAGGCAGAAAGATGCTCAGTGGGCATATCTATGCCTTGTATTTCTCATCTGCTTGATGTTGCTCAGCATTTGGTGCTTGAGGGGATTCCACAATCGCAACACGAACAAACGAGAGTTTACCCTCCATGACACATATCATCTTCTCACTGTCAAAGGTAAAGTACTGTAAAGAATGGATGGTTGGTGGTTGCTCTGGTGTCGTTAGCTCATTCATTCTTTCCTACAAACATATATCATCCTTATCTCTGCTCCATACATTTGTGTGTAACAATGTAGTAACGTCTTTAATTTTCTGCACTTATATGACCAAATTGTGTTGCAAGTGTCGTAAAAGTCTTAATAAAACAAAACAAAAGGTTAAAAGATACCTTTGTTTATTTATTTATATATTTTTTTGGGTATGATTTTGGCGTCTTGAGATTTAGGCCAGTTCATAACATGATGTTGGAGGGTGCTACTGGTAGGCCTAGGTCCTACTTTCTTTCTGTCTGTCTTTTTTGCTTTTTCCCAGCATTTAAATGATTGTTATTGTGTCGAATTGCATCTTTTTACTGAAAGATGTTGTTTCATGTACATAAAAGAATATTCGACACTAATCTTTTGGTTGCCTGCGGAGATGCGTACAAGGTTTAGCGAAACCTGTCTCTCTCTCTAGATTGTGTGGTCCTTTCCTCTGCGGTGGGGCCCCGATTCGTTGGAATCTCACAACACTAGCACAGAAATAGACTGAGGCTTTAAACAGTCATTCCCCCTTTCTTCACGCCAAAATCTCTGCAGGCCTCCTCTGCCTCGATACAGCTCTTCCCTCTCCCTGCTGTAATCCAGACTGAACTCGTCTCACACTTACTCACTCACTCTCTCTGCTTTACGCACTTGCGCCAAACAATACAATAGGCTTAGCCTAACTTCCTGTTATTGACCAACACGCCAGATTGCCCAATAAACAGCCAAATAGACCACAAGAGAACTGAAAGGTTTCAGAGTAAGAGGAGAACTGGTGAACAAGATAATGTAGATCGAGCTCAGTAGGTAATTCTCATTTCTTTAGGAAGATGACCTAAGGATTTATTCTCCAAGAGTTTGGTTTTGTGACTTGCTTCCTCGCCCTGTTTTTATCAAGTGAGAACTACATGGGGAAAACGGGCAAGATCATAGTACAGAAATTATTTAAAAATTAATTCTAATAGCTTGTAGGCTCAGAACTTCATTTCTTTGCGACTTTTGGTTGATTATACCTGTTTGATTTCCTACTCAAATAACTAAAATAGTAATCCAGCAGTGAAACAGAAATGTATAGTTTTGGATCTGCAAGCTTTTAAAATTGATGTTTTGTCCTTACAATTTCTATTAGTGACTTTGTCTGTTTTTTCCATAGACTTCTCAAGTGCTGATGATGAATGATAAAGGCTCTCCTGTCAAACATGTGTTCTCCCTATCTCTCTTTCTTTTTTTTTTTGTGTTTGTTACTCTCTTGGAACCCCTCAAATATTCAGGACTAAAATTATTAGGACCTTGTTGTGGTGCAAGTGTCATACAATTCTTACTTAAAGCGAAACATGGATTGCTGTAGAAGTTATAAATGTCCTATATACACGTTCTGTTATTTTCAGAGGTCTTGTGGAGGAAAGCCAGGTACTTGCCGATGATTCACAGAGAAGATAATCTTGAGGAAGTGTTTGTCCATGATTGTGGGAATGATCCATGACTATTTGTTGCTTACTTTTGTGAGTGAAGGATATAGTAAGTTATTATAAAGTTATATGGTTAACGTGCCAAGTTTGAGAACAAACCTGGATGCCTGATTTTTTTTGTCTTTGTAGGTGTACAGTCTAGCATGTACATAGCTGACACGCTCATAGTGAAACACAGTGAACAGGTTTTGAGGTCCCGAATTTTTTTGTATTTAAAACACGTACTTGGTGAAAATCGGACGTAATGAAAACATTTCCACTTCCCGCCGATTTCGCTATGCATGTGCTAGATTGTATATATATCATTTAATGGACTTCTTTAATGCCACAATTTACCACCATTTGGTCTTGTGTGAAATATTGTTTGGTTTGTGGTTATAAAAAAAATTAGAGAGAGTGAAGGAATGCATGCTTGAAAAGGCTCTGTTTTATTTTTATCCTGTAGTACACTGTAACTGAAAAGTGACTACTAATTAAAAAAGGTTTCTGTCTAAATCCTGATACATTATGTAATGGTTACAACATGTATTGTGTAATTTATATTATTCACTTGTATGGTGTAGAGAAAAGCAATACGGTAATATTACTTTTTTAATTGATAATATATTGGTACATGGCACAGAAAGAGTATAAGCAGCCCAGACTCAAACCAAAACACGATTGTCACTGGTGTGTTTTCCTGCTGTGATGATTATTTAAAGGAGTAGCGGTGATTTGTATTGTTTAGTCAATTAATTTAGGACGTATGCCATGTACAATGAAGTTGAAAGAAAGGAAGAGTCTGAGTCTGAGTCTGAGATGAATTTGTATGATTTAGTCCTATTTCGACTGTGTGCAATGGGCGAATGTATTTCTGTGTGTGATGTAGAGATATATGATCATATAGGACGATGCAATGGAGTTGAAAATAAGGAACAGTTTACGGTGGATTCGTATGATTTATTTCAATTTAGGCTGCTTGCAGTGGGCGAATGTATTTTCCTGCTGTGATGTAGATGTATGATTGAATAGGATTTTGCAATACAGTTGAAAGAAAGAAAGAGTTTGAGGTCGATTGGTATGATTTAGTTCATTCAAGCTTTGTGCTATGGGCGAATATATCTTCCAGCTGTGACATATTATGTATGAATGATTAAATAGGATGTTGCCAATGAGCTGAAAGAAAGAATGAGTCTGAGGTGGAAAAGGAGAGGACGGTTGGACAAAGTGGATGGTCAAGTCTTGTTTAAATTTGTTTAAATGTAGGTGTTTTTACATGCCCATCGATGCAATTTAGATCATTTAAGAGGTGGGCTTCTGACCTCGCATGTCAGGGCCAACCCGGGCTGAGAGAGATATAACATCCCAGCAGAAGACCGAGATACTTGATAAAAATTTCCTTGTCGCTTAGAACTTGAACTCAGGTCTCCTGCGTACGACAGCGAAGCGCCTGACTGTTACTCCACAGGCGCTGGTGTGGTCAGGTCATATGTCTACTAAAAATGGACTATATCATTTAAGGTCTTGTTTCTTCCAGAGCCCAGTGGTTCAGATAATGTCTGTTTAGATTACCCGACCTTAAGTTGGAGTCATGACACAGGAAAAAGAAAGGATGGTGACTTACCTTGTTGATACATGTATTATTTTAATGTTTGGATTACAGGATATGCAGTTTGATTTATTAGGGATACTAATTTTGGAGCAAAAATGTATACTTTAGTTTCCGTCATTTTGTCATAAGATCACGTACAACTTAAATTATGAAATGCTCAAACTTAAAAAAAATAAATTTCAGGCAGAGAATTGGAATCTGCGTTTGACTACTTAAAACAGTCGGTTTTTTAATGAGGATTCCTCAGTGTTACTGGAAATGCTATTCCTTTCAGTGACGGGAAACGTGTTTGTTTTGTAGCCAACTGAAACTGAAATGAGAGATTGCCAAATTTAGTTTTTTTAAAAGGAGAATATTGGTTACAAGTGGGAAATTGTATTATGTTGTGATGTCTTGGACAGTGTCATTATTAATGAAATGTAAAAAACAAAATGCAAGGGTGAAGTGGCTTGGTACCTCAGGATTACAGAGTTCTCTCTGCTCAGTACCTAGATCTGAGAAATTGGACGTCAAAAGATTTTGAATTTCACGACATGTCAAAGTTTTTCAAATGCAATTCTTTGAATATCTTGATAATAACTCTGAATACTCTTACAATTTTGATGGATCAGATAGAATATCTGACGTCAAAGGCTTGATAACTGAAAACGGCAAAAAATGTCAGAACATTGTAATTCTGAAGTAGCGGGTTGTCTGTAAAGGTGGTTGCCTTGGAAAGGTGGCAGTAAGAACATATTCGGGTGTGTGTGTATATATATATATATATATATATATATATATATATATCTATCTATATATATATACATATCTATACAGGCGGATTTCCCTCCGTTTTGGTGTTGTTTTTGGTTTAGATGTTACTTAAATAGAAGATGAAAAAGCGAGGATTTTCTTTTCTTTTGGTTTATTGCTGTTTTCATATGACCCGTGTTCAGTTTAAGTGGATTCCACTTTTTGTATGCAGTGTGGATTATGGGTTCTAATTGTTTTTTCCTCTGGTTGATATATTTTTAATGAGGGCCATATGGTTTCTGTTGATTGTACAGGTTTTTTAAAGGTCTGACAGCAGTCATTACCTCATTATCTGCAAAACTTATTTAGGTTTCAAATGGTGTATTTTCTTACTTTACTTACTTCTGTCACTTACATTGTTATAGCGGGCATTGTTGTTGCTGTGAATGTTAAGCCTTACATTACAGTCGAACCTGCCTTAACGGAAACCTGTGTAAAACGGAAACCTGTCTTAACAGATTCTCCCCGCTCCCCCCTCGATATATTCCTCTTTGATTACCTGTATAAAACGGAGACCTGTCCAAAACAACTCGGAAACGAAAAAAAAAAAATCTGCTCCCTTCTGAGGGTTTTACCTGTCTAAGGTAGAAAAATTAATGCTTTGCCCAATCAGCCATGATTTGAAACAAAACTCGCATGTTTGGCTCCGCCGGCTCTAAACTAACGTCTTGCCGCTAGGCGAGGAACGAGAGAAGGGGTGCAATTTGGGGGTAAATGTTACCCCTTCTAGTGGACCCTGAGCGATGAAGATGGCCAGGGTGGTGTGGGTGTGAAATCTCACTAGTGCTAGTGAAAATGCTTGAGTGGCACTCCAGCATTGAAACTTTCTTTGGTAGCCAGAGGCCAGAGGTGTGAAATTAATTTGACCAATGCCTGCCGCCCTGATCGTACAGCCAGCCGAGAAGAGTTCCTTGAATCGTTGTTACATGACAATGAGGGGTGGCATTGGTTGTATGTGCTTATTACACCAATGGGGCTTAGGGTAGAAGCAAAGGAGATGTTCAAACGCTTCTGTTTTTAATAGGTCAAACAGTGGTCCTATGAAATGCAAGCTATTGTGGTAACTGGATATATAAATAAGACTGACGCATGTCATTATCAGAGAGGATAGCAGCTGAGAGGAGTGAAGTTTTGACCACTTGTGATTGCTTGCTGACCAGACAAGCGACCCTTGATCCCACCGGCTGGGCCGTGGAACGTCCCCCTTTCCATCTACCCACTAAATTCCCCTGTCTAAGATGGAATTTTTTTCTGGCTCCCTTGCGATTCCGTCTTACACAGGTTTGACTGTACTTATAATGCTAGTATAGAATGAACGTTGCATTGAGTCACTAAAGCAATATATTGCACAAAGATTTCTTGTTCAAACATGGTTGAAAAATGATGCGTTCATGTTTTGACTACTTTCCAGGATTTGGGATGTATGTTTTTCCTCTCACTTATAGTTCTGCAACATTTGTTCTTTCAATATGATTATATTATTGTTAATGCTCCCTTTCCTGTGATCCCAGTGAAATGCCATTAATGTTACAGCTCACAATGATAAATAGGTTGTGTGCTAAAATTCAAGGTGATCTTTTCAACTTGGTGAACTCTTAAATTCTACATTGTCTCATTTTCTTACATACATATAGATTTGTATTATGATAAATATTTCATATCGGGTAGCAGCAATTTTCATTTGTATGACTGCCACTGGTGAAAGGAACATGCTGATATGATAAAAGTATGAAACTTACTTGGCTTTTCTTCAGGAAGAGTTACAGTATAATATGGATAGGTCGAACACAGAAGACTCGAAATCACGCATCTGTCAAACTGTGCCTGGGTTCCCATTTTTTTCTCTTTGTGAGATATCCCTCAAACTATGGACCCCTCAAACTACCGAGGCCGGTCCCGACAAATTGGAGCTATCCGTGTTATACTGTATTTCTGTTCCAGTCATTTAACTGTATTACTTTTCTGGATAACTGATAATTCTGTAGTTTTGTTTTGAAATTGTTGTGTTGTAGTAATTGTAATGTTTTTCTGACTTGCTCATAATTCTGTAGTTTTGTTTTTGTCTAAATTAAGTGCCACCCATTTTCTCCTTTTGAATGAAGTCAGCATTATGATGAATTTGGAGTTGATAATGTGTGAGGTTTTTTTGTTTTGCTCATTGCCAGAGTAATGTCTGCCTCAAAGTTTTGACTTTGCTGACAGGATTGGATTAACTGTCAAGTTTTCTTCCACATATGACTCCAGACCCATAAAACTGTTTCTCTTGGGCTCAAAGAGGTTGAAAGTGTGCTGAAAGTACTCGCATGTATCTAAAAATATTACTCTAAGTAGTCTGTTAGTTTTTATGCTACAAGTACAGGGGCATGATGAGACCCACCCAATGTCTTATCTAGATCTTCAGCCCAGTAAGATGAGCTGTGATTTTCTCTTAGCTTTATTTTATGTGAAAGAACATCTATCACAATGTGCTAATGGCGTCAAGAGAATGTCTTTTTTTTACTAGTTCAGCTTAGCAAAACTCATTGATTCTTTAATATCTCTATCAAATCAGTGAGAAGATCTGTTTGGTAGCACTGGTAGTCTATTGGATGTAATATCTTGCTGAAAGGAAAAATAACAGTTGTTTTCATATATGTAGTGGTTAGGCGCTCGGACTCGCAACCGTAAGGTCGTGGGTTCGAATCCCGTCAGGGACCCGACGTTGTGTCCTTGGGAAAGGCACTTTACATGAATTTTCCTCACTTCACCCATGTGGGAATGGGTACCCGGCTATAGACAGCGAAAGATCTTGTCAGTTTGTTAGTGTTTGAGCGCTTAATCGGCTGCTTGCACTGTATGCTTCCCGGGAAGCTGAGAATGTTTCGGAGTGTTCTATGGTCAGCTGGGGTAATAATATAGTGTAAAGCGCATAGAGCCTGCTGTTGAGCGGGGATATGCGCTATAAAAATGCTATCTATTATTATTATTATGTATACCGAAGGAAATACACCGGACGGAAATTATTCTTTAAAAAAGCACTATTTCTCCTTTGAAAACAAATTGAAATTTAACGTTCAAATGTTCTGTTCAGCATGTGTCCTGACCGGAGTGGAGACATCATGAGCATTACCATATATTATCTTATATTAAATGTTAATTGTTTCTCTGTGTTTTTAGTGACCTTGCTAGTAGGGTGTAGTAATAGTATAGGTAGGCCTATGACATTTTCCTTGCAAAAAATGCATGAAATGTTTTTACAATTGAACATTTCAATATTGTTCTGTTCAAATTCTCTTTTGGAGAGCTGTCTTTTTTAAAATTTTTTACACAAACCCTTCTTTGAACAAGGTGCTTGGGCAGGGTGGGGGGTGGGTGGCGGGAAGGTCTGCATTCTACAGGCTTACAGGCCGGCTAATTTTCTATTCAGTGATTTAATACTACAGTGTATGTTTTTGGTGTGGCAGATTGCCTAGCTAGCTAGATTTTCAGTTGACATGAAAAAGGAGTCTGTCAAAAAGAAGAAAAAAAGTAATTAAATTGATGTCAGTGTTCCGATTTTTAATGTGAGAGCTCCCTCCCCCCCCCCCTTAAAATATTAAAATACGATGTTCGTTTATAATTATCATGATTGAGTTATTGGCAATGTTGTCAGTTTACTACTTTATGTGTTCTTATGGAGAGAGTGTTGAAATGTTAATTTCACATATACCTATGTCTTCCAAATGTTAGCATTACTATACTGTCCATGTTTGAGATGAAGAATAAAACATGCAACTTATGAATATAAACGTATG